CCTTTTTTGTCTATCATCTGCCCTGATGTTAGTTTCTCCCATTGGCTTTTCAGCCACCTGCCCAATTTCAACCAGATTTAACAGCAAGGTAGAGGTCTCAGAGAAAACTAGGTTTCTAGGCAATTTCTTAGACATGTAAAGAGCTGTGGTGCTTAAGGCAGGTGTGTTGTATCCTATTGCTGTCCTGCAGAAGGAAACTGAAGCACCCCCACTTTGGCAGTCTGAGGAGTCAAGGAGCCACAGTGTGCTGGATGATGAGCACATGCTTGCTAGCCAGTGAGGACATTCTGCCCCTTGCTTAGCCAGCAGTCTTGTAGGGGCTTTAAAAGTCGTTGAAAATTTTGTGGGAGGCAGCAAAGGGCAAGGTGTGGCGTTCCACATCATCAAAAGATGCAGGAGTCAGGGAGCTGAAGATAAAGTAGAGGCAAAACCTGAGCTGGTATCCATGAGTGACTTAGGCTTAAAAATGTGTGGGAATCCAGGCTTCTTCACTCGTCTTATATAAACTGTTCATTACGGGTCTGTGGTGAGTGCAGGGGAGCCCGGGTGTGACTAATGGCAGGCAGCAACTTTCTTTAGGAGGGCAGAGGAGTGACTTTGTGCACTTGGATCGCTCGTGCTAACTTTGCCCCGCCTGACTGCCGTCTGCCTCTCTCCCACAGAAATGTTCAAACCACTGTTCATTCAAGATCTCTCCTTGATATATTGTTTTCCTTGTCAGGCTCTTCAGCTTGTGTTTTTTAAGCCCTGATACTCCAACGTCATTTGTGCCTTGTAGGGAGCACATCACAGGGGAGCCCTATCTGACCAACTAGTCCTTCTTGTTGAAGGAGCCGGGGGGACACCAACTTCTGGTTCTGCTGCAAACACATTTTCAAGTCAATCTAAAGTCCGAGTATAGTCCACAGGCAACATGTCTTTCAGACTGCTGCTGTAAAATGAATATGCAAATAGTTCAGACATGATTTTCACAGTCTTCTCCATAGCAGCCTTAGTCTCTAGATAAAGGGAGCCTTGCTGTAATAACAGTGTATGTGTAAGGCACTGAATAAACATTTCCAGACACCGTATCTTAACAACTCACATTCATGGATACACATAAATATTGAAAGAAGAGGCCAACTTAGATTATAGAAGAATGTATGTGTTTAGCTATTTAAACATCCTTGCAAAGTGAATCTGAGATAATGCACTTTGGGAAGAAAGAAGAGATGAAAAACATCAAGTGCCTGAACAGACTTTGGTGCCACCTGCTCCTGCATTGTTGTATGTGGGTGTGTAAATTTATTTATTGGGAATATTATTTACCTAATATTTTTTGATTATTAAAATGATATATAATACTTCCTGTGAGAATTCTGGGTACCTCTTGACTGCACAAAGTGTGCATTCATTAGATAATTATTATGTTACCTGTTACTGTAGACTACAATCATTACAATACCTCCAGTTCCTCCTACATTCCCAATTACTAAAAGAATACCGATAGCCAAGCCCCAAATATAGACCACCCTTTGTCAATTCCATAATGGAACAAAGCATCATCCTTCCCTGAACTGCATTCCTATACATCCTACTCCCTCTAACTGCTTGCAGCAGTAGTGTGCGTGTTTATGTCTGTGCATGAGTATATATCTACACTTAAAAATTGTCCTTGCTTGTGTACTCCATTCATGGTCTTCACAGGCACGACCAGCACAGGTACCAAGTCGTGCCTGTTCTGACAGCACAGTTGATGATATGGAGGTCTGTTACCCACTGTGTCAGAATGCAAAATTGCCTGGGGAAAGACTACGAAATGGCAGCACTGGAAAATCCTTCAGATGAAAACAAAAGATTGACTTTGCTGCAGAAGTCTGGATGCGCTTCACACCATGTGCACGATGGAGACGTGAAATCCTGCCCCTTTGAGGAGGCAGCACGGTGCTTGACGGTGCCAATGTGGCACAGTTCGGTCCCACTGAACGGCAGTTAATGGTAATACAATGCTTTTCCAAGGACAAACATGAGTCTTGTAGGTCATACTGTGTTGGAATAGGAAAACCTGTACATTAGGGTTGCAGGTCTGCCATGCATTTCATGGGGATGGAACCAGGGAGGCTGGCAGAACTCCATGCAGAAGTGGATCTCAATTTTTTCAAAATCACAGCCTGAGTACTTGAGGGAGGGAATTATCTCACCTATTTTTATCTGGTTTAAAAACCAGATATTTAGTCCAACTGAGTCAGCATAATATCTTTAGTTGTTCACAGAGAGAAAAACTGTTATTGATGCCAACCTGAAACTGGCCTGAAATGAAAGTAATTTGAGATGGAAACTCTCCATTTGCTGCTGCGGGAGCCTAAACTTAGTTTTCAGGCAACTACTGTTAAGTGAGATAAACTCCCTCTGAAGGGAACTCAGCTCAGCACTGATGGAAGCAGGATACCTTAGATTTTCTGGAAATCATATCTAATATCTGGGGTCATCTCAGATGTCTAATCATCTTTGAAAACTGAGCTCTGAGCTCCTGTGCTTTCCGCTTTTATTTGTTTCTTTAAAATGACTGGTTTTATGGGTGGGATTAAGTCACAGTGGTTGAGAGAGGCTGAAGATTTATGAACAGCTATGAAAAAGTTAAGGGCCATAGTGTTCTTGAGGTGGGGGGAGGCTACATTTGATGCTTCTACTTTTGTGCTTGTGATCATGTGTAAATTCATTCAGAAGGCCACAAATGAGAGCATCAGTTTATAAGTCACCAGTCTGTGAGGTCAATTAACTGTCAATTAACTTCCTCTTGCTGCCAAACACAGTCTTGAAGCAGAAGATAAAAAATTGAAAGCCACTTTTAACGTTTTGAAAAATTTTTAGTCCAATATCTGCAGATTTTCTTGTTTTAGGAGTTTGTATCTGTGCAGCAAACTGCTGAGAACTACTTCACAAAAATACCACTGTTTGAGGTATTATTGATAGTTGTTGAGTATCTAAAGAATGCCTAACACCCAAAAAACCCCATTAATACAGATATTGTCACCTGCAGATGATGCAAATACAAGAAACCTAAGCAGCATCAGTAAAAAACTTCAGTATTATTTTCAGTAAGGACCGTGAGTAGGATAACTATTGTCTCCTGGAGGATTTCATCCAGGTGCTACTTAGCCAGGCCTTTGTCTTGCACATGGCAGGTCCTTAGTGCAAGCAACTGGAGTATGTGAGACTCTGTCTTGCCCATGGAAAAAGAGAGACAGCCCAGCAGCATAATGACCAAAGGGCCAATAGCCTTAATTTTAAAAGAGGGTGTTGGCTAAATTAGAAAAAATTGCTATGTGTAGTCTATCTGTTTAAGGTAAGTGTAGTGCCAGAGCGTCAGTGACACTTCAACCTACAGTTACAGCGAAGCAAAGATGCTGGTGAGCTCTGCTGTCATCCACGCTGGGTGAACATGGTGGCATCTGTGAGGGAGGCAGCGAGCTGGTACACATATGGTCGGTGAGAGAAACCCAGGGTTGACTTAACAGGCAAAACAAGGTAAACACTGAATATGGCGGAAAAAATGTGCAGCAAAACTCACACCCTGAGAATCTCAGTCCTAAGTGGATCATTTGTTTATCCCACCAGCCAAACCTGGCTCTGCAGCAAAGCAAGCCAAAGAATGTCTCCTTTATTGTTTCCATGATACTTTCTCATCTACAAGCCATTCCCCTTTTAGATTATTCTATTTTTAAGGCATAATTTCCATCTGTTCTTTGATCTTATACCACATAAGACATTTAGCTAATAACATCATCCATCAAATACCAACTTTCCTTTAGAGTTCAAACACAATCGACACAGGACCCCGTCCATCTGCTGGCCAGTGCCTCTGAACAGATCCAGCTTGTGAATGGCCAGCTATGTCGCCTATTTTTTAATTAACTGGCTAAGGTCTGTGCTTCCCATAACGCCGCAGGATGACTAGGCACTCCAAAGGGAAGTGAAAGGCGCTCTGCTGCGGAAGCGAAGACGGTTTGGTGCATCCAGAGCTGCGATGAGCTTGTTGTAATTGGGGTTTTCCAGTGGATGGAGTCTGCCTTCAGCCCCTCAGTGAATTATTTTTTTTAGCATAAAATCACAATATTTATATAAAAGGTTTGAAGGCTAACCATTTTCAAACTTGGCATTCTTCAGATGAAGGTGGGTAAAGCAGAAAGACAATGTTTGCTTCTGTGACCAAACTTCTGAGTTTATTCGAGACAAACTTCAGAATTTCAGGGCAAGTTATCTGAAGCATCGGAATCGCAGATTTGCAGAAAAGTATTTATACAGAAAATGCTTGTCTGCTTACCCAACTGGAGAGCCAGGGAATGTCAGATGATTTAGGTGACCACCAATTATAGTAAAGCAGCACAGTTTGAATTAAAGATATTTGAGATCAATCACAGTTAAAAAACTTCTAAGAAAAGCCTGTCAGAAAAAAGGAGATTAATGAGTAATCCAGAGAAAAGGTAGTTTTTCTATGGGTATTTTCCAAGTGCAACCAGATATAAAATTTTTTAAATCATTAGTTTTGGATTCTTCACTTGTTACCTTGCTTCTCAGTGGTTTGCTTTATCTTGCACTCAGTGCATTTGTTTAGGAAGGAATTTGATTCAGGATTTATATTCCGCTGGCTTATATATGCCACAGCATATGTATCTCCAGATCCGAAACAATAACAACAACAAAAAACCCATTTCCTTCTATTTCCTGGCTTGCCAATAATAAGAAGTCCCTGCAGAGGGGAGCTTGGCTGGTGGTGTTTTGTGATTTCTCAGATAACAAGAGCTTCACATTTCTGTGGAATTCCCATTTGCCAGCGAGCTGCTGCTGCCGCTGCCCTGATTGATATATGACTGCAATGGCACTTTTCCATTTGACATTCCCTCTCTCTCTCTCTCTCTCTCCCCCTCTCCCTCTCCCTCTCTCTCTTAAACAACAGCCCTAACTTTTGTGTGTTGCAAATATAAAAGGCAAGCCATGTGACAGAGGGACAGAAGAACAAAAGCATTTGGAAGTAACTGGACCTCTTTTTCGCTCTCTGAAGAGTTTGAGGGGAGGAAGGAGCAGTGCATTTTCCAAAGGTAAGCACATAAATAAGAGATTCCTCCAGATTTTGAGTATTACATGGACTTAAACTGAGTGCTTAATCTCTTTATCTGATAGACACATCTTCTCCTTGTACCATTTGTTAAATTAAAAAGTGTTGATGTGGTATCGACATAGCTTTAGTACATGTGTCTCCTTATCATTGTGTCTTGAACTATATCTCCTATCTGAAGGATGCCTATATGCAGGCAAATAGGTAGCCTGCTGTGCTTCTGAGCAACTTGGTTAAATGTCTATTCTTGTGAGCATGCCGGGCTGATGTCTGCAGCTCTGCGCTGGTCCTAGCTGTATGGTTTTGGAGTGAATGGACTTGCTGGACTCTGCCCTGAATTCATCGAGAGAGTGCTGGTATCGCCAGCACCCTCTTTGTCCCATTACAATAGGGCTGTATGAACACAGGCTAGCCTGCTAGTTTAAAGCTGGACTGTTTACTTCTATCACTACTTATGCATGCTGTTCTCTTGCCAGTCATCTGCCGGAGTGCTTAGAATAATTTAAAACAACAGGCAATATTTATTTCTAGCTTTCTGTGTCATGCTTCGCAGGAGCACTCTTAATTTGCACATTATTATTTATCCAGACTTCTGGGAAGCTTTACTATTGACTGGACAGCACTGGTTATGGATTAGGACAGATTTAATATACAATCTTGATTGGTTGAAACCTATGAGGAAAGCCACGGTGTTTGCCTTTGCTGTAACACGAAGGGGTATATTTAGTAGGTAGCCGACCCCGTCAGCCTGACACGTAATGCAGCGTGGCTGTGCAGTCGGTAGCTGACACGGGAGGATGCTGCAGGACCCCAGACTGCCTGCTGAAGGAGAGAAGGAGGCTCTTCTCATTTGCTGACAGATCATTTCACTGTGTATCAGCGTCAGAGGCACGAGCATAACTGTTCTCTGTGTCTTTGGGACAAAAGAAGAGTTTCACTGTTAGGAGCCCAGTGATAAAGTGTCAGTGCAGTGTAACTGCGAGACGTGGAACAGACGCTGCCTTGAGCAAGCCCGGCTGAAGAAGAAAGCCCCATCTCCTTGCTAGGATTCAGGTGAGTGAATTCATCCTATAAAAGTTCACATGAATGGATCCAGTAGCAAAAAACAGAGTAATAAAGATGAACCTTGCAAAGAGCAACGTCAGTACTACATTATCTAACTGCTGTAGTGTTAGTAAAGCAGGTTCACAGAGAGTGTGTGTTGGGGGGGTAATTTTCTTGCAGCAAATCTGAATTTGCAAGACAGTGTATGTGGATTGACTCTTGTGGGACTGTCAGGCAGATTTCTTAACCTACTGCTCATGTTCATTTAAATTTCTCCCATAGTCTCCCCATAACACATCTTACTTGTTTCTGCCTGGGACAGATGGCATGACAAGTAACTTGTTAAGGTTTCTGCAGCTCTTTAAAAATGAAAAAATGTTTCCTATGTGCTAAATGTTACTAACAATTCCTAAAGCTTTGTAACTGTCCCAGTGACTGAGAGGTGAGAATTCTGCACGTTAGAAAAGGACAGGCAAACGCTTACTTAAAACCAGCAGTGGGTTTGAAACTTCACCTCAATTCAGTTCATTATTGCAAAGTTATTTTCTGATAGAAGCAACCCGGCTGCCTGGTGGGGTCAATAAATGCAGATATAATAATCACAGTGCTGTTATTTGTCCTTTCTCAAAAGATATTCTACATTTTAGGAGATTTTTTTCTTTCTTTCTTCTCAATTACTAACAACACTCACTTTTTCTCGGGCTGTGGGACCTTACTCATATTTGTGAGCAGTTATACACATGAATAATTCCCTCAGCCTAAATAGAACTACTTGGTGAGTAATTATCTACCAGCTTGAATCAGGGGTGCCCAATGTGACTTACGTATACATTGGCACGTTCTTGCTGGAATAATGAAACCTTACTTGCAATACTGGTATTATAAGAAGTTGTTTTAAGATTTTCCAGTTAAAAGCAAATGTGGAAGGAACACATGTTTCAAGCTTACAAAATAAAATGTAATTTGATTTATTGAAGGGGTCTAATTAGGGGCTGCTGCTGATTGCTCTAGTTACCAAGCTCAGATCTCTACCTGAAGGTGTCCCAAGTAGGTTTTCTGGGTTTGCGCAGCACCTGCTTTGGATCAGATGCATGTACACTGATGATTCCCCCTTGCAGAGTGGGATACTTGTTATGGACAGTCTTGTGTACAGTTTGCAGTAGCCGTACCCCAGGGAGCTATCTATGCATGGCTGATCTCCTTAAAAGCCTTCTGCCCTGCTGGAACAATCCCTCACGTGCCATTGAGGCTTGTGATAGCATCTGTATGTTCTGGCTGGCTTGAGTTGCCAGGATTGCAATCTCTTTTGCCCAGGTGAGAGGGGAGCAAGCCACCATCTTGGGGGCTCATATTGATGTCTGTAGTGACTCCTTTGACAGGGAGTCAGCTTCATTCCCCATTTCCCCTGGGCGGACACTTTTCCCCTCCTGGCTTGTCTGCTCTCAGATGCACTAGGAAGTGCTCAAGGTTGTCCTTAAACCTTGAAAGGAGTTGACTATCTATGGTGCAAAGCTTGCATGAAGCCACTGAGGCATTTTTTTTTACAAGAAGTCTGGCAGATTATTTGTTTAATTGAAAGAAGACAAAAAAAACCCTCCTTTTTATTTTTTTTTTTACAAATACTACTATTTTAATTACAATTATAAGTATTAGATAGTTGTATTACAAATACTGCAAATTGCTCTAATGTCCTGCTGAGTATGAGGAGAAACTTGTCACTATGAGTTTTAGAAAAGTTTTGCTACATGAGACTGTGCCACGGTCCCATGTTACTTGAGCAATCCACCTCTTGAGAGTGGCTGGAAGTGGCCACATCAAAGAAAGACACAGAGACCCCATGGCAGGTAGCTACAGGGTAACTGGCAAAGGAATTTTCTCTAACCCCATCAACTGAACTCGCAGAGTCCTGAGAGTTTATAACCCTTCAAAAAACTTTTTAAAAATAAAACCCTTACGACTGTAACCCTCCCATACAGAACAAGTCCTTTTGCTGCGCCCAGCTAAACTTTTGCCCTCTGTGATATCTTGTTCCACTGGATCATTGTCGGTTGTGTAAACATGTGTTTCTTTTCATCAGCATTAAATGCGCAGCCTCTCAGCTCCCCTGCCCTTCTTCACGTCCTGGTATCTCGGGATGGGGTGAGTAGCCATGCCCAGATCACCTTTTTTTTTTTTTTTCTGCTGTCTTGCTTCCTGCTCAACAGCCCTTTTGTTGAAACTCAGCTCAATGGCAGGAGAAAGGTTTAGTCAGGTCAGATTGGCTTGGGTGTCTGAGTCTTCCTGGCCAAGAGTACTCCACTTTGCCCATGCTTCTGTGCCTGCATATGAAAAGATGCTGCAGTCTCCACTGACTATGATCAGCTGTTATTTCCTTTTTATATGTGTCAGTGTGGAACATATTAAAATTTCTCAGTAGTGGTATGTTAGGAATCCCTCTGATGCCCCACCTCCAACTTAGCAGAACAATAAAAGCAAGGTTGTAGTAAGCCTTTGAGCAGCTGGCTGTCTATATATTCCTTCTTTTTTCACATAATCTAATTCAGACTATTATCCGGGTAGCAGTGGCACTACCACTTCCAGACACCATCAGCCCTTGTCCTGTTTGCTGGAATTCCGTTGCGTGGCATGGAGATCCTTTCTACTGCAGACAAGTGTAGCCTTTCTTCTGGTGTCAGGGTAGCGGGCTGCTGGTGTCATGGAGACACTGGCCCTAGGAATTCCACTGCATCGCTATTTTTCAGCTTCTCTTTGTTATTTTTCTATTTGCATCAATCATTGTTATGGCTTACGCTTGTCACATTTATGTGCTTATTATTACTGAGCTGCAAACTGTGTCGGTCCGGCAGTGTGGAGGCAGCACAGGATATGTTGCCCTTTAAGACATGTGAGTTGAGGATCTGAGTTAATGCCTCAGCTCTGGTTTGGCAAAGGTTAAGCATACCATGGCAGTGACAATCGCATTACTGTCATAGCAGCACGGCTCAAAGAGAGTGGGACCTAGGGGAACGCTGTTCCCCTTGTTAGAAGACATAAAATTGTTACCGTGAGCCAAATATTTAGGTTCCCTGATTATCAGAGGCTGAGGTATATGAATGGTGGTTTGAATATCGCCTTGGTATACAAGAAGAGAGGATTTTGCCCCTAGGGTCAGAAAAGAGGGAACACCCCCTTCAATCATGTCCTATCTCCAGCAGGCATAGCACTCTCTGCTGGTCCCAGTGGCAGGGATGTCTTTGCTTAGTATTAAAGACTGCATCTACCGATAACTACAATCCTTTGAGTTCTCTAGAAAATACATAAAAGAGAGAACAAAACCTGCCCACCTGCTTGTAACACACTCCAACAGGTAGAGGACATATGCCTGAATGCCCTAGACCTCTCAGCAACTTGTAATTTGGCCAAGAGTCATTTTGCCTCATGTTGGGTCATAAGACTAAAGTAGAGGTAATTACTGAAGCAAATCCTATAGCTAATGCTTGGCTGGGAATATTTGCACTTTAGCCAGCAGCCTTCCTTGCTAGTTTGCCTCCTGAGAGGAACGGGTGGCCTTACTTAGGCTCAGCTCTATGTCTGGTGCTTCATCGAGGAGTCATTCCATTCAGCACTCTCTGGATAAGCAAGTGGAAAACTGTATTCTTCTCAATTCCTGTCCCAGTCTCAATACCACAACTACTCTGATACTCAGTGAGACATAAGAATAAAGAAAAAATCCAAGGCTGGCATCACCTCACCATTAAATGGCTCTACTAGCTCATTAGAGAGAGATCCCATACATGCCCCTAATCAATCTATTTAAAGTTTCCTGGAAGCAGGAAAAGGAAAGAATAAAAATACAAGCGCCCTTTTGTCCACCAGTAGTTATTCTTTTTGCGAGTGTATTAAAAACCTTTTCTCCATGTTGGCCTGTGCCTGTCTTCTGGCAGGGCTCCAGCTTGCAGT